CATTAGTTGCACAAGTGATCCTCGAATGTTGGGTCGACGATGTAATGACGATAACGTGAGAATGATGACGTGATGATACGAACGAAAACGATAACGCGATAACGACAATGCAATACTGAAAAGTTTGGAGAAAAATACAAAAAAAAAAGTTTTGTTCAAGAGTATTCTCCAAAAAAAAATTCCAGATATAGAAAAGAAATATCAAAAACTGATAACAAAACAGAACAAATATCATAGTAAATTTGAAAATACTAGTAATTGTATTATTTAAGAAATCCGAATTAGTCAATAAAGTTTACTTCGTGAGAAGTTTTAGCCGTAGAATGTTTGAACTCGCTCAGCACTACCCTCAGACAGGAATTTCTATATATAATAAATATCAAAAATAGCTAAATTGGTGGAGACTTATCAGATACTGGTACAATACACGACGAAGAACATATCTCACGTGTCCCCTAGGAGAGAAAGAAGGCGTATATATAAATAAAAACATTAGGCTTTAAAGTTAAGTTCATGTTTCCATTTTGACCACATTTATTGTTTATTTATCACCATTATTAGACATATATATATCTCCAAATTTGTAACTCTTTACAAATCGTTATTATTGTGCAGAATATTGTAAACTGAAAAAAAAACACTCGGTGATTCCTTTCCTTTGCTCGATCGATAAGAGAGCTGGTGCACAGGAATTTCATATTCCAACGTGTCGTTTCCAACAGTAATCAAGCTGATCTCAATACGGAGGGATTTGCTGCGTTGCAACTAATGCCGGAATAAAATATGTCATTCGGAAAAATAAACTAACATGACAGCTGATTTAATCGGTGTGTTCGAACTTTAAGGTCAGGTTGTGTTGTTAGGAATGGTGTCTCTTACATATAGAGATTGTGATTCGCTGTACTTTAGCGATCGATTAGAGGTATTGATCTAAGAGCATCATATGCACGTTATGTAATCGAAATTCTTTGTTTTGCTTTTAGTGTAGCTTTTGACGGCTGGAGCGTCAGGGAAACAAATGTTAAATTGACAAAATGCCTCAAAATTAAGTGTCTAAAAGCCTCTAAAGCGTCATCACTCTAGAAAATTAATTTGTTTACCTTATCACACAGAGTGTAAGTTGAGATTGTCTCCCTTTTTAGAAATGGAAAAATTGCTTTGATTATTGTGTTTAATTCCTTGATTTTGGTGAAATGCAGGAGGGGGTGTATAAAAGACACTAGAGGAAACTAAATTCAATGAAATTAGAAAACCCTTTAAGTTGTTTTAAATAATAAAGCATTGGGTGCAAATAAAACAATATATTTTTTTTTACCAATTCTTCGTTTATTTGGTAGTTGAGCTACAGAGAACTTGAAATATTTTAATCTTTGATCATTCTGTATACTAAGTTGAATTGATGCAGAAGGCAAATAAAACCGGGTCATATCACGGGACAGCGATTAAAATTACACACGGGTTTCTATTTATAGTAAATGAATATCATAATTGTAAAGAATGCACATGAGGTTTGGTAAAAAAAAAAGTGATGATGAAACGTCAGTAATTATTAAAAAAATCTACAATACAGAACACACTTTGTAAAACCAAGTTCACCAATTTTCCAGGGATGAGATCAGGTACTTACAATGTATTTTTTTGTTAACCGCTCACATCCGCCGAAAACCATATATATTTTTTCAGGTAGACTGAACATACCGTAGTGTATAAGCCAAAATGATAGGATATATTAGCTTACAAGTTGTTAAGCGCCCATGCATTGAATTTATAATTAAGAGATTATTGAAATCCCTGTAACATCAACTTAGCTGTTAGTAGTGTGCCTTGGTTTAAAACGGGATCATATGCAGATCATCCTTATGCTGGATGATGTCAGCGGCATATGAAGGTGGTAGTGAAATTATACTGCATCCACAGGAAGAGTTGACGATAGAAAAATTTGAAGTTGCTTTTGTCCTTCATCACCAGCATACGGAGTTTATATATCTCAGTTGATTCGATACGCCAGGGCATGCTCTACATGTACCTACGAACAATTTTAAAACGAGATAAATTATTGACAAATAAGTGGATGAAACAAGAATATCAGCAGTCTCGTTTAAAGTCATCATTTCATATGTTCTATGGTTAATACAATGACCTTGTCAGTAAATACAATTTATCATTGCTGACTGACGCTTTTCATACTGATTGTTAGTCCATTATTTATACACTGAATTGACGACGGATGTTTCCGTTATTTTCGATCTGACAAGGAGAACACGGCGGGTGTGACCGGTCGGCAGGGGATGCTCACTCCTCCATGGCACCTGATCCCACCTCAGACGTTTTAGAGGTCCTTGTTTGCTCTGCTCCTATTTTGTATTGTTTTATGGACTTTTGATCTAGAATACTGTTATGTTTCATACATTATAATTGTAGATGGCTGTTCCTTTCATGATCAGTAAAACATTCAAATATAAAACAGATGTGACAGACACTGTGCTTCTATTATTTCACATTTACTGGGATGTTTCTAGTCTACATATGAACATGATGAATGTAGAAACTATTTAAACAGATCTGGCGGATCGAGAGAAATGTTTTATCATGTGTTGAAAAAACTTAAACTTTAATTGAAGGTATTGACTTTTTGAATTTTCTAAACGTTCTTTGGAGTTTTGAAAGAATTCCCATCTGAATTACGTCACACATAGAATACCGGTATGCTGCAGAATAGCGTGTTTCAAGTTTTTATGCACAGCAGATTAGTAGTATATTTTTCTATTTTTGTAATGAGTAAAGACAAAGACTTGGTACAGAATCTGTTGGACCCGGCAATGCATCTTTGTTTGTAAGGATTTTTATGAAATTTAGGAGTTAAGTAAAGGAAGAATAGACCGAACTCACATTGATTGTCTGGAATGTTAAAATTTTTAATATTGAAAAATGATTCTGAAGAGTTTCATCCTCAGAAAGTAAACTATTTGTGTAAGCTGGATTTACCAGACCTAGAATGAAACCCAAAGTTCTTCTGCAATATGGATACAATAAGAAACCTTACAATCACAGACGATTTATTACCCTTTCTGCTGGAATCATAAAATGTACATGTAGTCTAACTTATTTGTTTCTCGCCTCCACTTTTGTGAAAACGAAAGAATAGATGGTTTGCATATTGCACAGTATGGAAATGATATGTAATGACAAAAGCCTAGACAAACCATGTATTTTAAAGTGAGATGTATCAATATAATATAAATATATTAAATCACCATTACCGTTGTCCACAAGCTAAATTATGTAAAAACTTTTGAAGGATTGATTATACTTCTCCACTTTAGAACTCTAAGTAAAATAATTTATTTCATAACAAATTATATTTATTAAATGGATCAACAGTTACAAAATGATGTATTTAGCAGCAACATGTAGTTGGTCTTCATTTAGTTGGCCTTACTTTTGACTTTGAATACTAAGAGGGAAAGAAATTCATAATAGTTTGTTGAAGCATTAGTTCAAGATTTAATCTGATTTCGATATGCTGTAAGTATTATACCCTATCATGTCTTAAGTAGTTGCCTATTCAAGCTGCTAACATAGATAGAACGCGGACAATCCAAAACATAGTTCTGTCCGTTTTCCAGGATCTCGACCGTAGCTTCGTTTATTAGCCATGTTTATTGGACTAATATCATCAGCCCAATACATCCCCATCCACATGTTACAAGGATCTAACAGCTGCCGAGGTTTCTAATGTGAAGGGAAACGCAAGGATCCCGATAAATTTTTAATGATGCGATGAGCAATAAACGACGAACATCGAGTTGTCATGGAATATTATCCTAGCTCTGGTGGGGCTGTTGAGACACAAATGTTCAGAATTTGCTAATTAATGTAAGTTGCATTATAAGGAATTTACGACTCTAACAACTGTAATGTTGTGTGTAAATTCATTACAAGGTTCATGAGACAATCATGAGCAATGTGAATAAAAACACAAGCGCACTTGTTTACGAGGTAATATTGATCTTTTGGGGAAATGTTTTTCAAATAATGCTCCATAAAGCACATGCAAAAACATTTTTAACTAGAAATTATTATTCAGAACGTACTTCCTATTATCAAATAAACATAAATATCCATTTAGCCTTATTTCTACATGCGATAACTTAATTTTGAAATTCAATGCTGTTTTTTAAAAGAAATAATTATTTTGAGATAGAAAAAAATAGATTGATTTTTTCGTAACAGCTTTTCGCTGCATTATACTTTATCCATTTGTAATGAATAATAATAATAATATACATAAAAAAGGAGTGCAATAAGTGCGAAAATCTTGCCGGAAATGTAATAGACGATTTCCCAAAGGATATTGAAACAATATTTGTCTCTCTCCTTTCTGAAACTTTCACGAAGTAATGGTTATAAGAATACTGAAGTGTTGAAGGAGGCCAAAATGTTTCAAAGACGCAATCTTGTTCCATTTCAACCTCATCTGTTATTCTTTTGTTAGCTGCGCTCGCGGACTGTAGTTTTTCTTTCTCCTTTTATGAGACATTCTCGAGAGAAATCTTTTGTTCGTTTTTACTTGTTGGAGACCTTTTTCCATGCTTACATTGGAGACACTGTTGTAAGGGGAATAGGACTTCTCATCACAGAAGGTAATATGATGGACCAGGAATAATAATTGTCATAATTTCATTTAAAGCTATGTCATCAAATAAAAGCATTACACAGCACAATTCAAAATTTGATTTCAAATTAACCATTTTAAAAGTCTTTTGAAACATCTTACAACCTTTGATTTCCAAAACTCTCAGATTTGAATTTCATTTCTCAGAAGGTAATTCGGTTTAGTGCTTTTTGTCTAATTGCGTGCCTTATCTTGAAGTTGACTTCTTTTGAGGAAAGGTTCGGGAGCGACAGACCCGCCATAAGACTGCTGCTAATCAAATACAACTGCAGATGATGTTTTACTCTCTTGAAAATCAATAGCGCGACATTGGCACTGTATCTGTTCCATAGGAATTACCTTCTTCTCGTGCAATGGGACAAATCTATAGAATCAACAAACTCCAAGGTAAATACACGTATGCTTTCACTGCTTTTCTCGATCATTTCAGTTTTTCTAAAACTTCTGAATTAGATGGATGTTATTTCTTAGAGAGCTTATAAAATCAGATTTATGAGCATAATCCTGCTTTCACTGTTTCATTGATATTATAATTATTCTATTATTAATGAATTAGGATTATTGAACCTCTATGAGTTGTTTTGCTGCAAGTCGTAGAGAAATGTTTTATAAATGTGTCTTGGATTTTACTGTTCATACATATTTCATTACTTGAAGAGAATGGAAACACGTTTTCAATGAGGGAAACATCAACATTTGATCTTTGAAGGATATAACATCTCTTACAGAATGGAAACCTAACTAGACCATAGTAACTCCATAGTTCGCTAGAGTTGTGTATTGAACTGTAGAGAGGATATGTAGTCAATAAGAATATATGTACTCTGTATGAAAGATGAGAATAATGAAACTCACGGAATATTCTACTCATAACAGACGCCAGATTCCACTGTGTTGAAGAGGCGCCATTTCCACTGGGAGAATTTCCAAAAACAACGGTCTGGCACGTGATACAGATCGCACTAATAAAAGAATGGGCCTCTTTTTCGCCAAATAGAGTAGAAATGGCATCACGTCACAATATGGTCGTCTGCTGCCGGAGCCTTGTCCGTAGCTGCGGATCAAAGTTATTCCCGTCTTATTTTCTTTAGTACACTTGGACCAGACTTACATTATCAATCGACCGTTTAGTCATTAAATTAATGTGAGACATCGGCTATGCAGGATGAGACAACTCAGGCCAATATTTTGGACGAACTTGGTGCCACCCCTGTCCGGAAAAATGGACATATTTCAGGGGATAATGAGCGGATTATTCTCAATGTGGGAGGTGTCCGGCATGAGACCCACGTCTCTACTCTCCGGACTATCGCCAACACTCGGCTAGCCAGACTGGCTGAGAGACACCTAATGTTAGAACATAAACGTGAGGAATACTTCTTTGACAGGCATCCCTCCGTCTTTAACTCTGTGATAGATTTCTATAGAACGGGTAAGTTAATGTTTCCTAATTCTGTGATTTCTAAAGAACGGATTCTGTGAAATCACTTATTTTCGTAGGGGTTTGATTTTCGTTATTTTCAAGGTATGGAGAGACCCACAGATTTATGACCACTTGGAAATATAAAATTTCATATGCATTACTATTCAACACTTCTCCAACAACAAAATCAAATTTCCACAAAGCAATAGTTTTCCTCAAACCTCGAAAACTACACACGACAAAAATATGTGATTTTACTGTATAAATTGAAATTTTCTTATCTTTGTCAAAATTGGCAAATTTCAAATGGATGAATGATTCTTGTTCCTTTTCTTAATCTTTCCTAATAGTTATTATCACCGTGTAAGTTTTTTCTTCTCTTTCTCAGATATGAATTAATCCTCTATTTACGTTTGTTTATAATTAGTAGGTACTGTGAACTTCTTGTTGTACATTCACTGAACGTTAAATGGAAATTTTCGAAAAAAATATTACTGTTGTACTAATGGGCTTTTGAGCTTGAATACTGTTTGTTGTATCCATATATCTCATAGTACAGTTAAGGAATATAGTAAGAGAGGTGTGGTGGATGCAACATTTGCAATTCAGCCTTAATTCTTGACGATCTATTCGGCTTGTATTGCGTGTTGATGGGTGGTAAGTTATATGCACATAGGGGACGTTAATACTATTATACCATGGTAACGTGGGGGCTAGCTCTTCCATGGGACCCTTGTTTTATCAATATGAATGTCATTTGATAGCAGTACAGTTCAAAGGCCTTTCATAAAATTGGCTTGATATGAACATTATGTCTTCATGTGGACAAATATATATATAAGAAAATTACTATTTTGCACAAAACGTCTTAGCTTCGTTTCACATTCGAAATTGATATGGCATTAACAAAATAATAATTTTGATTAAAAGTTGTCATTATTAGTATTGGTCGTACGTATAGCTTGTGTCAACAGCGTTAATTAGTAGGTACACAGGACTATTGCATTAACACTTTCTAATTGTTGGGAACCTAAAACAATAATAATAATCATATTATATGTAGCATACAATTTATTTTATATTTAAAAGTATTGTTGCAGGTAAACTCTAAAGGTGTACAGGATTTTAACTCAAGGTCATACGTTAAAAGTTAAAGTCATGAGGCAATGGAATCAAGTGTGCCATTAATTAAGACGTTAGATAACAGTGTATGAAGCATTTTTCCTAGCAGATTCCTAAAGTTTCTACGTCTCAATGTCATATCTCCAGTGTCAAGGCTAAACGTCGAATTCGTGCCTGATATTTACATTTTGGCAATTCTTCAGAATACATCTGTCGACAGTGTGTATACGAGGGGTGATCAAAAAGTTCGCGAACTATCTCTATTTCTACAAAACCACAATTCAAATTAGAATGAAATTCGGTACACCTATAGCCATACACAAGATCTATAAATAGCATATGCTGAATAGAGTTTTTCTCCTTGTTTGTGGCGTCACAATGTGAAAATGACGTTACTATATAGGTCACTCGTGACGAAAAATGGTTGTCTCAGTCGAACTCGTTCAACAAACGACTGTACAATTTATTGTATATCTTAGAAATCCCTCTGCAGTATCATATAATAATTTGTACACAGTTTATTGAGATAAATGAGTTCCTATAAATTCAATTAATGATTTGATAGATCGTTTTAGTGAAGGAAGGCAGATGGTTAAAAATGATACTTGTCATCTTACCCAGGCTAAGCAAGTTTGAAAAAATATGTATTTTTAATAAAGCAATTTGCTATCAAAGACCTCCAATTAACACTTTGAAAAATAGTTGAATATTTGAACAATGATATAAGTATCAAATACCTAAGATAACATTTACTTTAGATTTTAAACATATTAGATATGATGAAAAGGAGGCACCCATTCTCTATCCACCTTGAATAAAGGTCCCTCCCGAGACAGAAGATTTGTGTTTTAATGGTCGCCATGCTTATTTTTGGAAAGGATATTCTTATGCACCCATTCTGTTGCCGAGATATGACCATTTCTGACAAATGAACTGTTCTTATCATAAAAATTAACTCACGTGGAGAGAAATATAAAACTCAGAAGAATCTTTCAACTTTTGTGACAGAACGCTACGGAGGGGTCACGTGACCGGCAATATCACGTGATTCACGCATGTGCAGAACGGTGGTTGATGTGCATTAAAATTGTTGAGGATTAATTTAAAATATAATCAACATAAAAACCAAATATTGTTTCTTTTATGGAAGTTATTCAATTAGTTCGCGAATTTTTTGATCACCCCTCGTATAGTGGCCTAACAATTAGTTTGTAAAACACCAGTCAGCATTTGACTTTGTATTGATTTGAATCTACCATAGAACTTACAAAATGATGACTTTGAAAAGATTGCTGATATTGTTTTAGAAACTAACCTACCACGTTTTAAAAATTGTTCAAACGTGCAGTATGCTCTTGCGTATCAATCAACTGAGAGATGTAAACCCCGTATGCTGGCGATGAAGGTATATTGCTGCGTAAGGATGGAAAGTTGACGATTGAAAAGTTAAAGTCACCTCGTTTGTCATAAAGCTTGTTTGTTATATTACCTTTAACGTCTTTTTCAAGTATAATGCCTAAATATAAAACAGGTGTGTCAAACTGTGTGGTATGTTTTATTTCAAGCTCACCGGGATATTTTGTATCAACATAAGAATGAAAACAACTAATGTTAATTGACAATACGTCGTCGATATATCTAAATATCCATTTGAAGGTCACAGCAAGGGTTTTCTACTTTTCACGTATGATTTTTGACAAATTCTGCTTCATACGAATAAAAATAAGAATAAAATCTGAGAAGGGAAAGACGAACTTTGATTTTTCTTGGGAATTGATAATACAAAGTGTTGAAATGTAGTGTATTTTGTTGTATTGATTTTGATAAAATTTTGCGATTTCAAATTTTAAAATACAAGTGTATATATTTGCTTTACGCCAATATTTGAATATATTATTGCACAGTACTCCTGAGGTGTCTCCTTCACTAGTTATATGTTTTTTTTAGTCAGGAGTAAAGAAAGAAACATGGTAGAATGATTAGTAAAACCCGTTATATATGTAGCTTTGTTCATATGAATTTTATTTTGTTTGGAAATCTAGTATAAGTATGGTAATTCAAAATAAATTTTATTGTTATTATTGAAATATTTTACGGACATGAAAGAGAGCTTCTGCTTTGTTCATGTTCATGGCTCCATGGCTTTCATTTTGCCCCTTACGTTATTCAATGATTGCAAAATTCTCTAATTGGATGTAAAACAATATACAATAATTGATCATGTTGTCCCTCGATTGCCTATTTATTGCGAGAGTTCAACATCAATCTGATACTTTTAATCCATTCTGACAAAGTATCAGGGTTATTTTTCGTCTTTGGTCCCTCGCCTTGTGTAATCTTCCATAGAATTCATGATATTTATGAATGTATGATACCAGTTGATTGATTTGTGTTCCTTAAAGTTTTTGCCCTTAAAAATAAGTGATCAATTGTTCTCCCGATCATTACAGCAGGACTAAAGTTGTAGGATCGAAGAGTATATGTAAGATTTTCTATAACTAGGAACTGTAAAATTTTCGTTTTGTAATTAAAAGAATTTCGAAACAATCGTTGATGTCTATTTGTAAGAAATACAAGGAACTTCAGCTCTAAATGTGACGGACTGCATGACTGGAACCTTTTGTCTTTCAAGAATATTACTTATATTAATCGCACAAGTTGGCAAATTGAAATTTGAATAACAGAAAGGTTGTTTCGGGCAGTTTTTTCTCTGTAAATCGTGGCGGTTTAAAAACCTATGGATTGTACCATTCATAATCACAAAAAATCTAGTCTGTAGTATCTGGCTCCATCAAATACAATACCTCGTGCATGCAGATATCAAATTTCTGACTTCAAGCGACCTACATTGTAACAGGGAGGTACCACCAATAATAATGTGGGTATACGCAGCCCTGCCCAAGTGCGGATGTTATTGTTATAGAAATTAAAGAAACGTGGTCTCTCTCCTGACTCATTCAAATGTTATACATGTAATAAGTTAGAACTTATTAAAAAGCGATAGGACAGTAAACAAAATATTTTATAGTCGTTTTTCTCTTCGATGTGAACAATGACAGTTAATTTAACAAGGTATGTTATTGGTCCTTCACTATCCATTGACTGTAAATGCTGAGTATATAAATGACCAGTCGCAGCCCTCCACCGGCAAATGGTGGCGTCACAATGTTAGTGAAAAATTCTTATAGAGACGTTAAACTACGGAAGCCCATTCAGGACCTATCAAAAAATATTTTTGAATTCGTTATAACGATTTTTAGAATTCGTTATAACGAATTTAATTTGTTATAACAGATTTTTAGGATTCGTTATAACGAATTTAATTTATTATAATGAATTCAATAAATCTGTAATAACAAATTAAATTCGTTGTAACGAATTCAATGAATCTATTATAACAAATTAAATTCGTTATAACGAATTCAATAAATCTGTAATAACAAATTAAATTCGTCATAACGAATTCTAAAAATCGTTATAACGAATTCAAAAATATTTTTGATGGGTCCTAAATGGGCTTCCGTATTAAACAAACAAACAAACAAACAAAAAGAAAATGCAGAATGCTTGTCAGAAAAGAGAGTTCTATACATTTAAAATTAACGAAAAAAAATAGTAATATAATTTCTGATTGAGAGGTTTGAACAAGTATTCTAAAGGGAGATTAAGATTGGGGTACATTATATCAACTGATATTTTATATGTAGTGTGGAAATCTGAAGCGAAATGTAACTTAGTTTTCTGTTTAACATGTCTCCACCTGCCATTTAATACACCACTACTTCCTATCTTAGTTTCTAGGATTACCCGATCCATTAACAGTCTCGGTATAATCTCGCAGTTGTCTCGCAATGGCTACTGAGAACTCCTCAGGCCATACAATTTGC